GAGAGACACAGCGAGAGAGAGAGACACACAGCGAGAGAGAGAGACACACAGCGAGAGAGAGACAGCGAGAGAGACACAGCGAGAGAGACACAGCGAGAGAGAGACAGCGAGAGAGACACAGCGAGAGAGACACAGCGAGAGAGACACAGCGAGAGACAGCGAGAGAGAGACACAGCGAGAGAGAGACACACAGCGAGAGAGAGAGACACAGCGAGAGAGAGAGACACAGCGAGAGAGAGAGACACAGCGAGAGAGAGACACACAGCGAGAGAGAGACACACAGCGAGAGAGACACAGCGAGAGAGGCACACAGCGAGAGAGAGAATGGAACCATGTGTGATATCAGATCTTACCAGGTATAACGCAGTAAAAAAATTGTGTTTGTGAATTTTCGAATTTACTAGAAAAAATGTTAAATCTAAACTTAATCTATTTTTACATTAAGAGGATATTGACCCCGGTACGGCGAGCGCGCTAGGCGCACTATATTTTAGCCCGACAAGAATACAAGTACCTTTTATAATTATTATAATTATATAATTTTAAATATGACACATTTGACCAAAACATTTTGGATTAAAAAATATATTAATTACCGATCACACTCGACTCACAGTTGGGCATCTATATAATATCCCTAGGATGAGGAAAAATAACTAGGGAGCAGATGATGACCTAATACATCGCCAAAACTATCAATAAAATACTCTAATTTTTTTTTAATTCCCTTAAAGCAAAGAAAGATGACGTAAAATGTTAATGGAAACAAATTCTGAATAGTAACTCAAGCTGTTGGTTATGTTACTGATGTAATAGCAGTGGCGTAACGAGAAGGAACAGAAACACAAGTAAAAAAATTTACTAACTGCCAACATGTATCGATACCATAACCGCAAACTCTGTTCTTAACCTTTTAGTAACGAATGGGAATCCTGATTCTCGATGTATTTTAGCCCAGTGGTATGTATAGAAAATATCTTCGTATGTTCTCCAGATACTTGTGACAGCTCATATCACTTTCTTCCTCCGCTTGACAAGTAGTTCTACGGCCACTTCCGCGTGGCCGACGCAACCGAAAACAGTAGAGGAAGGTCTCTCAATAGATGTTAAGCGACTGAGCATGGGATGCTGTGACATTTCGCGCAATTACAGTTTGCCCGAAACAAACAGGGCATACGGCGCGGAAATAAGTACTTAAGAAGAGAAAGAAATTTAATAAAATAAGTAGAAGCAGCTTCAAAAATTTTCTGAAATCGTGTCGACTTTCTTCAGGCCTGAGCAGTAATGTTTGTATTTAAGCGATATCATGTGTATGTAATTCGTAAATCGACGCGTTTTTATTCAAATTCAATCTGTTTACGTTGTATCATAAAATGAAACATATAATACCCTAATGTTTTGTAGTTTTGCAACTTTGAATTCAATGATTTTAATAACTAAATATTACAATTTTTTAGTTTAACACCATAAAATATACATCAATGTTAAACAATATTTTCATTTTGTCAATTGAATTTTATGATAAATAATGCACCATCTTTATAATGTATATTATCTTTATGACACAAACGCATGTACACACAAATATATAATCACACATACACAAATTCCCCCCCCTCCCAAAAAAATTAGTCTCTGGATCCACCCTGTGTAATATAATTGTGCATGATGTTTTGTGCTAGTCTTCTTAAAACCACAATCACATGAATCATACAATGTTGCTATATATTGCTCCTGATTCTATGACTCACCACTGCTTGTGTTATCTTATACACAATGCTTGATGCCTGATCTATCATTTTGCAGGCAGTAACTCAAAGATGACATTCTAATATCTCAACAAGCCACTGTAGCTAGTAAACAAAAACATTAATTTACACCTTTTCTTGAAAACCATAAAAAAAACAACAGGTAGCACACAGTCAGAAATAATTGAGTTAAGTGAAGATTTACCTGATAGTAACAAGCATGATCTTATTTAACATCATTTCAGGGTAATAAACCACAGAATTGAAAAAAAAGGAACAAGAGGAAGAACCCTATGCTCTAGCCTTGAATTTAACCATTTCATCTTGCAAAAACAACCTGATACACATGCAAAAATACACTTGTTGTCAATTGTTCAGATAAACTTTGGAGACAGATTCCCAAACAAGTAAATTAAGAAACATACGAAAAATGGCGTGTCCTAATACCATGGGGAATATCGAACAATAGCAATTTTTAAAATATGTACATTTTTAATCTACTCATAACCTATCTACACTTGGTAAGTATCTGAAACGAGTTTACTTCATAACAGCAGCTTGATCAGTGTCTCTTCAAAAACATCAATAATTACAACACACAACATTCAATTTACTATCTGATAAAAAAAAATACCTGTTATGTACGTTTTTGTGAAAAATAAAATAAAAACCAAATCACCAACTAACTAATAGCTAGAAGTGCACCAAGAAAGAGACATACATTCCTTCTGGTAACAGATTTTTAATATAACATTAATTGTGTGCATTTCAAATTAGTTAGAAAATTGAGAAATTCATGAAGCAAAAGCCATATATATGCAAATGTCATGGGCAAAGATAGCTTTCTTGTACAAACAGTTACTCTTTCAATAGCTGTGATGAAAGATAAAGCTCATGCAGGTCAAGTGAGCTAAGTACAGTGATAGAAATATGTCATAATGTGAAAATGTGCCTAGTCTAACAAATGGAATAATTAATTTAATATTATCAGAATTTCAACCCGAAAACTGTTATGCAATTGAATAATTGTTTTTACAATTTATTGAGCACATCTGTTGAAATTTTAGCTGAACATATTTATAGTAAAAAAATCTTAGAATGTCTGGCAGTCACAGACATGACATTATGTATTAAGTAATTTTCAAAATTCAAGACATAATATGCTCAAGAAAGGATTATCATTGGCTACATTATTCTGAACAACATAAATAAAACAAGTTGGGAATTTCATTTAAAAAATATATAATTACCTATTTTCAAATAACTGTGAGACTACAAATGGATAATTAAAATACTAAAGAGAATAATATATAGTTGGACCAGTTCTTTATGCAACAATAGGTCATAACACCAAAACTGGTTATAAGATGTGATGATCATCCACATAATGTTGGTTTTGACTAGGTACTGTGTTAACTACCCAATTCAACAAATGTCACTTCCATATCAGAAAAAAAAAGTGAATTTCACATGTTGCAAAATCTCACACGTAAACACTAACACTCGACAGAAAAATATTTTCATAAATAATGCGTACAGACAATATTTTTGCTTCAAAATTGATTTGTATGTTATATCATTTCTTGGAATCAACAATTGCAACACGAAAAATAAGTAAATTATCACATCACAACTTTTTTTTTCCAAGATACACAAGAGATACTACAATCGTTAATTCCACATACATTCAATGTACAATAAAATAATAGCACACACTCTTCTGTCAATGTTTCTTTTATTTTCCACGTTCTGAAAGGCTGCGTAGTTCATTGTTGTTTCGATTTACTGCATGAATCCACTTAGCATCAAAAAAGACCAACAATGCTCATGCACACAAATCATATGTCAACTTACCTTTGAAACTATAACATAATCTCCGCTTTCTAACTAAAACTAAATGAATGAATTTTCGCGAAGTCCACAAGAGAAATCTCTTGGATTAAGTATGAGAATAACCCACTCCACTGTATGACAATGAAGCAGTATAGCCATCATACACACGAAAAACTGTTAAAACTCGGAGAATCTTTTTAACAGTATTGCTCAGAGCATTGAAAATAAGTTTGACACAAAGCATACATCACAATAATTTTAAATAATCTTGAAAGAGTTCAAATAATTGAAATAACTTTAATAATATTCACTTTTTAACCATATACTGCTTTCACCTGTCGTACAGTTGGCAATGAAATTTTCACATATCGTCAGAAGCGAGATAGATCCGATACGTTTCCACTTCCGGCATTGTCATTGAATGTCATATTTGTAGAAAGCATTCCGAATCAACGAGACCGTGCATGTATTGCTTGTAGTCTGTAGAAAACGTTAATAGAGTCCTCTGCAAGTCCAGCATTCTCAATACCAGAACCTTAGCATTAGCCTGTAGATGCGTCGTAGTTTTATAATAATCTCACTACGCGGAGCTTGTATTTCGTTCGTCTGCCGTCGCAAATTCTAGTTGTGGCTTCAACGGTGAAGTCGCTGTTTCCACTTTTTGTGCAGCCAATTAGTGTTATAAGGTCGGATTGTGATACGAGGTTTGAGAATCCGGCACTGTTAGATTTTTCATATGTCGGATAAAAAAGGTAAGGTTGACTTATTGTTTTGTTATGTAATTCAAGTGCAGTAGCATTATATTAGTATTTAAGCCCTTGAAATGTAATCACAAATTCTGTTTCGTAACGCCCAAGAATTGTTGAGGGCGTAGTTAAGTTCTCTGAAGTGACATATCCAATTGTCGAAGTAATACGTAGCAACCAATGAATATTTCACTCGTGAGTAACTAATGAAATTTTATTTTTGAACTGTGCTTTGGTGTGTTTGAAAATGAGATAATCAATACTATAGAATAAACAAAATGGCTCCCTTTGAATAATCTGTCAAATGTCATTGTCAAAGATAATAATGTTTTAAAGAAGCTTCTTGTGAAATAATATAATGATTTATTGTATTTGGGGTATAATTTTAAGTTTAAAGCTTCTTGAAAGGGAAGTGATTGGAAAGATTTCTTTCTTTTAATTTTTGATATATCCTACCTTTATTAAAATAAACAGACGATTTCAGATATATCTATAATTTCTGGTGCCTGCTTTTTTTGTTGTCTTTTTATTTCAGAGACCTATTGTTGAGCTAGGTGCACACAGTACAAAAAGGTTCCGGGATCATCCGCTCACTGTGACATGAGAGCGGGGTGTGAAAAACTTTTTTGCGAATGAAATTCGCAAAAAAATAACGAACAAAAAGTACAAAAAGCAAAACCAAAATAAAAACGAAACAATATGTATCTGATTTTTCTGACTAAAGCCGCACAAAGGTGTCTTGTGTTCTGTTGGTGTGTCTCTGTCGACTTCGCGAGGGTAAATCATCTGTATAACTTCCTTATTCCTTACAGCTTCCTGTTGTGGATGTATCTATGGCAGGGGAAAAGTCGTTCTGGCCTGTTCTGTCTGTCTCTAGTCAAAGCGCAGCGTATTGTTGTCAGAAACACATTCAAAACGTATTCTTCTTCTACGTGTTTACCTTCTCGGATACCTGACTGGCTGCTTGTGTTGTCTTTATATATTATAAATATATTCCATTACCTCTACTAGAAGTTTCCTTTAGTGTAGTAAATTGGAGTGCAAAAATATTTACATATGTTTTTCATCTCATGAAATTGCATGGGCAGTCTGCTGGAATGTTCTTTTTTTTCTTCTTTTTTTTTTCCTTTTTGTTTCTCTTTTCTTTTTTGTTCATAAACAGTCACTTTATTAAGCTTGTTTCAATGATTAAAATATAACTTTTCAAGGACTCTTCAGAAATAATGTATTTGTCTGAGTGTCCAATTGTGCTGCTCTTCCAATAAATAAAAGTAAAAATGTACACGTGTCAATTAATGATCGATCAGTTTTTCTTTTCATTTCCAAATTTCAATGGAGCATTCCTGCAGATGGCATGGCATTTGCTGTGCTGTAGTTGATTGTCATGGGTTATTTTGAAAATAAGATTTGCCATGACCTGACAGAGGTTCCTTCATATTTCATGATCCATATCAAAATTAACTGCTAGATTAAGTGGCAGAAACATCAGATTTTGTTGCATTGTTTTAAATTTTTCCCAAATTCTTATTGTGGTCATCAGAATTTTTAGGCCAGAACAAATAGTGGTCATTTAAACATATATCAGTCTTAATTTTTGTTTCCCAGTGCTAAAATGGAAGTTGTGAAAATTAAAATTAGTTTGTGGCCATAAAATTATGATTTTGGATCTGTTCCAGGCTGGGAAACTAATTTGTTAAGATTTAGTTGTTTTATGGTGAAAAAGGTATTTTAGGCAAAAACTTCACAACAGTTAACTTGATGGTGGCAGTTTATTCTAAAGTGTTTTATTCTTTAAACCAAAGTATTAAAAAGTTTTGGTACTTTCTTTTATCAAAAGTTCAAATTTAATCATTTTATTTCATTTCATAATTGTAATAAAGTTTACTAAAAAGAGCTTTAAATCTTTGTGCTTCAAATTGCTGTTTAGCTAGATCAGCAATTTTTATATTACAAATTGTACAAGTCGCTATAGGCTTATTTGAACATTTTTGTATTTGAATAGTTATGAAAATTGTGCAACTTTCAATGTAACGTGGACAACAGAAATTAAGAAGTGAAATAATAGAAAGTTGAGACTTCATGTTCTTGACAAATGTATGATATAGTACATGCACAAACTGCCTGTAAGAAATTTATTTAACTGTCACTTTTAAAGAATTGTTGTGATTTGAAATTATAGTAGTGCTAGGTTTGAGAAAATACTTTCTTTAAAAAATTATTTATTTTGTTAATTCCAAACCCGTTCGGAAAAAATAATTTAGGTTGCCTTCTCTTCGAAGTTGGTTTGCTACGAGTAAGCTGGAAAAATACTGCTTCTAGACGTGTCACTAAGTTCATGAAAGAAGTGAACGGTTGAATGGGGAGAGTCGGTATTAGCACTGCAAAAGCAGAACCAAAAGGTGCCACCCACAAGAAAAAATTGACAAATGTCTGTTTTTTCTGCCAAATTTCAGAGAGAAAGAGATAAACTCAGATTTTTTCCTCCTCCGATGCCAGGCAGTATTACCCGATCACCTTACGTATGAATTTTATGATTTTTTTATGGTTTTGGCAACTCGGTTGTTTTCTAGTACAAGTCTTATATAGCTGTCTCTCAATTTGTTTTGCCAGAAAGAAAAAAAACAGTATAAGAAGAATAAATATTTTTTAATTTTTTAATGGTTATTATGATTAGTTAACATTGGAATGCTGTGCATGCTATTGTATTAAGATTTAGTCTGTTTTTAATATGGACCCTTACAACCTTGGTGAACAGACTATAGTAATGAAAGGAATTAGTGCTTTACAGTTAATTGAATCATGTAGATATGAATTGACTTAAATGTGATTATCATTGTAAAATTATTGGGTATTTGTCAAATGAATTTCTCTTTGGGAGTTTCCTCTTAAGAGATTTTCTTTTTTGATGTTGATAGCAAATGGAGGACTCCAAGAATTTGAAGACAAGGGCTTGTTCACCATGGTTAATGCATGATTTCAATGCTAATAGAATGTGCAATGCATGTCTAAGTATAAATTGATGTAGGTGCATGTGTCACAGATTACTGACTGATATTTTCTGCGGTCCGATGGAATGATGGCAAATGTATTTGTTATGGACTGGTAGTTCTTTCCATCGGAACGTTAGAATTTGTATGTAAATAATATTGTTTCCAATTTTCATTTCTGGAAAGAGAGTGTTTTGAAGGATCACGTGTCAGTGTTTGCTTCGTATTCATGGAGAAATGTTATGTCTAAGTAGATATTAAAGGAGTTTGCAGTAATCGAAATGATGTCTCTCTCCAGAATGCTTAGTAGAATTTTTCACATTATTGTTTATGTCACTTGCTTGTGGAACCAACCAGATGCACTATTTGTGACCTTCAATGCTTAAAAAAAGAAAAAGAAAAGAAAATTACAAAATATGGAATTTGAAAAAGAAAAAAAAAATGTTTTAAGTACTAAATGGTGCATCTGGAAAGTAATAGTATTACTGTTTTCGCATTGTTCCAGTTTTTCCTGCAGTAATCGTTAACTTGTATATAGAGTATGTGGAGTTTGGTCCACCCAAATATATTAGCAAGTTACTTACACCAGGAAAAGTTAGAACTCATTATATTACTAGTCACAGAAACATGTTCATAATGAAATATTAGTTAATTTGAAATGAGAAATGACAGATTGTGAACAAGAGGTAGTTCAACAAGATTGTGTGTTCAAGAGGTAGTTCGTATTAAAAATTATGTATTGTGAGCATTATGAACATGGTTTTTTCCTGCATGTGAGGGGGAGCTTAAAGTAGATTATGAACACAAGTAAAGTATTGGTTAGTTTGTAAAATAAAATTGCATGTTAATTTTTTGCGGTGACTGTGCATGGATGTGGTGCTTGATTACAGTTCAAAATAATGTGGTTGTGAGAAGCGTGAATTATACATATAAATATATTGAGTATATAATTATATACATTCAGATCTTTCTCTTAACTAATAAGTTCTTAATATAATATCTGGTTTGTACAATTTCAAGCATGTCTGTTCAAGTACACACATACAGTCCTAATCTTCTCTAAGGTAATGGTGAAATTTTTTCAAGAAGTACTTTTTGATGGCAGCACCACATTCATGTAAAAGTAACATTTAAAGCATGAGATTTAATTAAGCATGTTCATGTATTTAAATACATGTTGTGTTGCTTTGGTTAATGAAAACTTAATGTTATAAGTTGATTGTGATCCTAGTGATGTGCTTGCATGATTTTAAAATAAGATTGATTTTTTTAATATAAGTTTCTAAAACTTTAGTTTTATCAGTGAATCTCATTAGCTTTGAAATATGGTTTTGCTTTGGAATGTGGTTTGTTGATGAATGGGAATGGTATGTTGCTTGCCATTATATTTGGTTGGTTTTATATTTTTTAAAAAAATATTGCGGTACATACATACCGTTTTATTTTTGTTAAAAATTTTTTATTTTATCTGTTATGTTTAATTTATTTTTTAAAATTTTTACATGTGGGCTGTTTACAAAAAAGATTGGCAAGATGTTTTTTTATTATTTTTTTTTATTTTTTGGAAACCAAAACCAGAATTTTTCAAAATAACTTGAAAGCAGTCTTGGTTGAAATGTTTGTTCGCACTTAGATGTGGTTTTGATGTCAAATCGTTTTCTCTTCTATATGCCATTTAATGATCATGATAATTTTAAGATTGTTCTTAAAATGTGTCGTGTTTGTGGATTGTTGTAAAATAAATTCATTTATTTTTACTCATTATCTTTCAAAATTTTTCTTTTCATAATTTTTAAGTTCATAAACAGTTGTTAAAGTAAATAATGATATGTACATATATTCATTATTTTGTGTGCAGCACAAACTTTTGTTAAGGTCAATTAGATTTCATTAATGGTCTTTCCAAAAGTTTGTGTGATGTACATCTTTATTTTCATTTATAGTTAAATTTATTTTTCCATTTGAAATAAAGAAAGATTAATATTATTTATTTCACCTGATGTTAATAGAAAGTTAATCGGGGCATTAGTGAAAAAATCTTTTTGATTTGTGTTGGCTTTGGTTTGCCATTGGCCTTTGTTTGGTTTCCGTTAAGTGCACAGCCCCTGCGCGTAAGGCGGCCAGCCGCCCCTTCCTGTGCGCTAACGGAGCGCTGTGCTTTTTCAGCATACCCTGTTGCCGCAGGGCAACCTCCTGCTGGCTATGTGCCTGGGCCCCCTCCTGCAGCTTATGGAGGTAAGGAAGAATGCAGGAAGCAGGGCAGGCAGCAGCTTGAGGTCTGTGGCATGCTTTGTGTCAGCCACTGTTGGTTATGACCGCCTGGGAAGTTGTCATTGGGCGTGCTTCCTTTGCCCCCCACCTTAGACATTGGTTGAGGATTGGACATGCTGTGTAGTTAAAAACAGCTTGTGTATTATTTCTCCTTTCATTCAAGAAATTAACCTGTGTTAATTTCTGCGAACACTGTTACTCATTGTAATAGTTGTTAAAACCTTGATAAAATAGTGTAAAAACAGTTTTCTTTTAATTTACATTGATGAATATCCAAAATTTTTATGAATTAAATTCTAGAAGATGGGTGTTTTTTAAACTTTCTATTTGCTATGTGACCAGGGTTTCTTCAGTAGCCTTTGAGAAACATGTGAGCCTGGTCATGAAACCCATACGGTTTGCTATTAGGCAAGAGGAAGCAGGTTTCTGGTGGAAGGGGTTTGAGGCCACAAAGGTCGTCCATCCTGCCCTTCGCTGTGTAAAGGTGCAGAGAGGTACGTGGTAACAAGAGCTTCTGTGGTGTTTACAGTCCCAGGGGCTGCCCCCTATGGGGTTTTCCCCTCGCAAGCCCAGTTGTACGCAGCTGCCGCGGCAGCCCAAGGGCCACCCCCCACGTACGACCAGTCGCTGCCACACCCAGCTGCTGTCAACCAGCAGGTAACAAGTGGACTACCTCAAGGCCACACAGGGTGTTCCTGGATCGCACCATAAATTTACATGTCATGAAATCAAAAGTATTGAAATTTATTTAAAAAGTGTAGAATACACTGGAAAAAATAAATATTACTTGTGTGTAGATAATGTTTTTTTTTGGAAAAATCTTTTGCTATTTTACACATCATATTTATATGTCAGTAGTATATTATCAAATGTTTGCTGCTGTTAAAGACAGTATTTCAGTTACACATCACAGTCGAATGCATAGTTGCAAAAATTTTGAATTGCATAATTACTGAGCGAATCTGCGGGGAAAGATAGTCTTGACTGCTGCAGTTCTCACTAAATAATTTAACTCTTTATTTTATTGTTAAGTTTTCTTTGAATTTTTTACCACACTATTCTTTAGGGGGCTGGAAAAATAGTGTCTATTGATAAATGAAGTACTACTGTTATAAATAGTATACAAATATCCAGGAATTAAATATTGTATTGAAAGGTTTTTAATGAAAGCTATGCTCAAATGCCCATTTCGCTTGAGGGCTTCTTTCGGTGCGTTCTAGGGCTCCCTGTGGTTTTGTGGGAAGTGTTTGTGATGCCTCACACTGGAGCCTTTGCCTGCACTATTGGTAGCCTGGGTAACTATGATAAGTTTCATCCCAGTGTGTTGGTTTGTGGTTGCATGTTTTTCTTTGTATGTAAATTTACCTCTTTCCTACTTTTAGTGCACATTATTGCTAGTGGTTAAATGTATGGTTGGAAACCTTTGTGTTTGGATTTTGAAGTGGATGTGTTAAACAGCATGTGTTCGAATGTTTTGCTGTGGTTACAAAGGTAAATATGAATGTGTACTGTGTAGTGTTGAGTGAACCTCTTACTTATGCTGGCCCTCTGTAAAAGAAAAACAAACCCATAAATTTTGCATCTATTTGCAAGTTGATATTAACCTTCTAGTTTATATAATACTGTAAGTTCTAGCTTCTCTGCATAGAAGAATATGGTAATTATAATGTGTTTACTATAAACTTGGCTTGATGAACTTCGCAGAAGAAAGGAAATTAATTTGGAAGATAGATTCATCTCGTATTTTTGCAATTTTTATGTTCTTCTTCATAGGGTATTAGGACAGACTTAGGGAAGATGCAACAAGACATACAGAGAACATTACATTCATTTATAAAGCAGCTAGTAACATATAAGCTATAAGCTCCAGTTGTAGAGACTGAGAACTGTTCAAATAAATAAATATATATATATATATATATATATATATATATATATATATATATATATATATATACACTCTTAATTAGTATGTAAATAAACGCTAGACTATCCAACATTCATAATTGGAATACAGTCCAGTGGCTAGGGGAAAATATCTATTGCAACAGAGCATAAAAATGATTTACTGTAATCCTCAGCAGTACATCTAGTAAAAAAGTTTGTTAAATCTGGTCTTGTTTGACATAGTTGATTGATTATAAATCTTGCTTCTTGGATATGAATATATTTTTTTCATTTTTTCCAAAGAAGTTGTTACTAGAGTATGAAACATGGTTGTAGTTACTGCACAGCAATGTGCCATTTTTCAGTAATTTCATTTGTAAGTACCAGCAGTTGTCATGCCCATTGTTTCAATGACATAGTTACACAATTTATCAAGTCCATTAAATAATTTAATCTCTTGTGATTTAGAATTACAAAACAAAATGACCTTGCGCACGCACACACACACACACACACACACACACACACACACACACACACACACACACACACACACACACACGTGTTCGGTCTTCCCCTTTCCTACTTTGTGACTTTGCAGTAAACTTTCATGATAACTTTTCAAGGTTAGTGTTCCCATTTGTTTGTGCTTAACTAAACAGTCCTTGTCTGCTGAATAAGTTGTAGCTTTCTCTCTCATTTCCAAATCAGTTACTTGGTGGATGGATGAACAGGATTTATTCTGTTTGAGACATTGCAGACCTGTCAATTGTTCAGAAACGTCTATTGTTATGTAGAAATAAACTTCAGCAGCTCTATTAATTAATTAGTCCATAGTTAGGCAACTTCGTTATTTGTGCTCAGTGACCTTGCAGAAGCAATGTTCACTGTAGTTGTGCACATGTGATGTAGTCCAAGGTTTTCGTTACTTTTACATTGGAAGAGTGATGATGATGATGATGATGATGATGATGATAATTGCGAATTGATGCTTAAATTGACTGAATATGCCTTGATACTTCAAAATGTAATGCAGGTTTTATTGAACAATTTAACTGAAACTTTGGAGGGTAAAGATTTTATATGTAAGTAAGGAGTGAATATAGTATATTAATTGTATTAACAAATCAACTTTTGCAAATTTTAAATAAGAAAGTGTTACATCAAAAATGTACATTAATGCTGTTATATTATAAAGTTATGTGACGAATTCATTATTGTATTAAATAACCACTTTAAGTTTTGCTCATTATGTCACTTTGTTAAGTTTTTTTAAAACTTGTTTTGTAGCAACAATATTTTGTGTGAGCCATAGTCACAATTACAGTGCTAATAATTTAAAATTATTCAGTAAGAGATGCAGGATTTATTTGAATGATTATTGCTGGATACAAGGGAGCCACTCAAAAATCCAGAAACATTAAGCATATTTGGGTGAGTGCTGTGATTCTTACTTCAAAGAGCCTAAAAAAACCTTCAGTTTGTTTTAAAACACCAGGGCACTTGTTTTTTAATCATATTTGATTCAAATATAATGTATGGGTCATTCAATGTCAAGTGGTTTAGTTTCGGAGAATTGTGTTCCGTGGTCAGCTCGTTTTTTGATGAAATTTTATAGGTTGAGTCTCAAAAGAATGTTTGTGAAATTGTGGCTTCGTAGATGAAATAGTGTTTGTGATAGCAGAGTATTGGTGCATTGTACAGTATAACTACAAGCTTTTCGCAACTTCAGGATACAATATTTCCTTCTCCTTACAGTAATGGTAAGAGGAGGTAAGGTTGAAATTATGCACTCAAAACAATGTTATGTTGATATTTTAGGCTTTGAATTATGAATTTGCTTCAACTTACCTGTCATGTGATAATGAAGGCGAAACTGATCAGATACACAGAGTAGGGTGGATACAGTTGCTTTTGCAGTTAATTGTTGTTGGTATTTAAAACAAAAAAACTATTCATTGTCTCTGCCAACAATATTAGTTAATGAAAGGGCAGAGGCTTGGCCATCATCTTCAGGAAGAAAGATGTACAGAAAGGAAACTGATGATGGCTAAGCCAATGAAAGCTGCTCTTTCATTAAATAATATTGTTGGCAAAGACAACGCCTATAATTATTTGATTGTCAAAGTAAGCTCATTTGTTAAGCAATAACAGAAAAGGAAATAGTGTATCCTGAAATTTCAAAAATAAATAGTTGTATAGTGCAACGATGCTGCATAGGGTAAAACAAATCTGCTTCGTTTCCAAAACTCTTTCACCTATAAACCTCAGTTTTGCTAAAGTTCCTTTGATACATGCAGGACTTAGTAAACAAATTTCATCGAATGGGAGATAGGCGCATGGAGGTTTAGACTACTTGACCTGGAATGACCCTTATGTAATTTATCTAAAGTCTGGAGTATCATAGATTAATTCAGAAATTGTAGACTCATTCAAAAGTAAGTTAAAGGTATTGCTAATTATATATACATCCCTCTTAAGTTATTAGATTAGCATATTAGTTAAAGTGTCATGATGATGTAGCGAGGTTTTAATGAAAGATTATAGTTTTGTTTCTTTTGTGATACAATTTTTATTACAAAAATGACCTTTGTTCACATTGGAATTTTGCTGTGTGATATAATTGTTTTGTTACTAAACTAGTAATATATAGTACGTTAGCATGTTTAGAAGAAATTGCAGTTTTCTTTGAAATGTCATTTCCTATTCAGGCAATTAATACAGTTTCTTCATCTTTCTGACGTTATGTCAGTTATGCAGCTTTATGTCACTACAACTTCTAGATGGATTTCAACTTACATTTCTTATGAAGGAGCTATTTTCTCAATACCTAATTTTATAATTGAAGACTGTTCTCTATTTGGCTGCTGTAATCTTAAATCAGCAGGAGGACTTTGTCATTTTTAGATTATAATTAATTTGTTTATGAAGGAAACGTTGGAACCATTAATTATGACACAAACATGCGACTTGGAGAATGATTGATTTCATGGTCTGTAATTTTGTGTCTATTTTCAGCTTTGCTGTTTGAGTCCAAAATTTATTATAAAAGGCAAGAAGGGAAACTTTGAGGTGCTGTGTCAAAATGCTGCATCCTTTCCTTCCAGCTTACAGTGAGATTCTTTGAACGTTTTGGTTTTATGTTATCTTAGTAAAGCTGAATTCGCTGTCGTTTCATGCCCAGTCGACTTGTGAAAACAGTGATTGCACCTTTTCTTACTGTGACCTGCCATTAGTGCCTTCTTTATTTGTGTTGCTAATTTTTTTCTCCCTCTTCTCCTTTCTGCAAACTTGCTCATGTGTAGCATTATTCCAAAATGCAGGCTGAGAGACTGTAGCAGGGAGTGGTTGATCTTTTTAGTGACTTCCTGCCTTGTGCAGGTGGCATATTCCACAGGGCTGTCACAGATGTATGCAGCCCAGGGTGCAGCTGCAGCTCAGATGTATGCAGCAGCTGCTGCCCCAGGATATCCTGGGTACTTAGGGTACCCGGCCTACAGCCCGATGCAGGCAGCTGCCTATTACCCATCTCTGGCTGCATATTCGTATCCAGGGATGCAACCGGCACAACTGCGGCCCACAATCATGGTGCCTGTAAGTGGATCTATCTTATTCCTTGTCTCTGCATTTATTCTGAAAATTGTGTGCTTTGTGTGTGTGTTACCTGATATTCCAGGGAATAGTGATATTTTGTGCTAAAACTAATGCATTGCATCACATTATATTTTAGAAGTCAAATGCGGTGAAATGCCATTAAGACAAAATACACATCCAAAGATTTAAAAATCAAATTAACAAAATATTTAATCATATACATATTATGTAATGTATTCTTTCATATTGTGTATATTATTTCAAAATTCAATTGGACCATTCAATAATTATTAGGGAGGAGAATGTAACCATTGGTATTATGAAACTTGCGAAAAGACGGAAGGGGGTGGTCTTCTCATACAATGAGCAGTGCTTCTACCGCTGGAACTTGGGGTTGTTTCCCAGTCATTCCATGTGGAATTTGTGGGGTACAAAGCTTGCTCTGTGCAGTTTCTCCTGCCTCATTTTACTATTTCTCCTTCATTCACCTCATGCCATTATTTTTATCATCTCATTAGAGTACTCATGGGCCTGAATGATCTCTGCAATTAAAGCTTCTCAAAACCACTATAAATAAATAACTAAATAAACTCAAATGTGCTTACACCATTGAATGGGTATGTGTTACTGCCTTTTAAGTGGTTGTATTAGAATTTTATTAACTAGTTGAATTTCATTGAGCATCAGATATTTTCTTTGTTTTGAGGTAACCACAAATTGTTATAGTAGGTGTTAAAATGTACATGAAATGTTATGGATGTGTGCAGTTCAGGATTTCTTAGGATTTTCCCAATTTTTATAAAAGAACTTGATTTTCCATTTAAACCTATCGTAAAAACATAATCTTTAATCAGAACTTCTCTTAAACCTCAATAGAGTTCCTATTCAGTGATGCTTTCCTTCTTTCTTGAAAAGAAATCAAGATTATTAGTTTGTACTACTTACTATTCAATTTTGAAAATTCTTAAGTAAATTATGAACTTGAAGGTCTTAAATGGAAATCGGAAAAGAAAAGAGAAAAAGGAATAAAGGAAGGGAGAAATTCTGCTAACCTTGCATTCTGCCATTACAAGAATTTGTGGTTTTCTTAGCATAAGTTAATATACCTTTCAACATTTTTAATTGCCATTCCATTCTGTTCTATAGATTCTAAAGACCTTTTTGTAGAACAATTTCATCTGACTTTCATCAACTGAATGAGTTAGGTGATGTAAAAAGCAACTAGTCATGCATTTGAATCATGCAAGGGTTATAGGAGTGATATATTATGTCCTATGACCTGTAATAACTGCTGAAAACATTGAAATCAGGCTCGTGCATTGTTGTTTTTTATTATTATTATTACTATTATTTTTAATTTAAAAATCATAAATATAACTACAAATACAGATTAGTATTAGAATGGTCAAAGCTTTTTCTCACTCTCATTATGCTAAATTTCCATTTTTTCATTTAATCCTTTTGCTTTCTGATAAATACATTTACTTTTACATTAAGTGTAAGATGAACATAAATACATGTTTATGGAGAAAATATTAAATCTGTTGTGAAGTTCATGACAATTAAAAAATAATGTTGGGTAATTGTTATGTACTTCACCGTTGTCATACTCAATCTGCACAATAATTTTTTTAATAAATTTGTCTTCAGAGATATACCATATATTTGTTGCAAGTATAAATGCTTATTTCAGTTTGGTAAATGTACTTTGTCATTAACTTCAGAATGAACAATATTATTATTATCATCTTTAGTTTGTTGAAGTAGAATTATTTTTAAAGATTCCTGTCATTTCAATGCATTGTTAAAAAAGAAATTACTTGTTTGAATTCAAATCTTATTTACAAGCATACATACAGAATGATTTTCACTTGAGAAAAGAATTCCATTATAGGTACAGACATCTTATTTTTATCAATCCAAAAATCCAACTTAAATTTATTTATATCAGAGATTTTCACATTCTAAGTCTACCAGGATTGATGCAGTCTTTCACTTCCTTTACTAGCATATAATTCATACATTACAAATTATTACCTCGTTACAAATTTATCTTGTGCTTCAATGTGTGTAATTAAAATATTAGTAATGTATTGAATACCATTTTTCTCTTCCTCTTTCCCATCCAATGTTCTGTTAGAAAGTAAATGAGAAACACAAGGAAAAGTGTCTTCTGATATAAGTAGATGTGATTGATGTTGAACAATTGATTGGAAATAATCACATTTTGTTATTTTTGTCACAGAATAGCTTTGATGCTGGAGCTCGTTTTGATGGCATTGCGCAGCCAGTTCTGCCACCAGCCCCCCCTGGTGTAGCTCCAAATGCTGCCCAGCTAGCAGCCATGGCTGGCCATAATGTGGCCCTAACACAAAAGAAAGGATCGTTCCTGGCTGGAGGAAGTGATGGAGGCTACACTTTCTGGTAGATATGCAGAGGAAGTAACAGCTGGTAACACTGTGGTTATTGCACATGCTCATGGAAAGAAAAGATGGAATGCAGGTGTTGACAACAGGTTTTTGCCTGACTTCTGTGCCACTTTGCTGTCTAAATTTTTTGGTACCAAAGTAATTGCTTTGATATGTAGTGGTGCTTGCTATTACTTCAAAAAAAGAAAAAATAAACAAAAAATAATTGTTGTTGTTGTTTATATAGGACCTACTGGAATTCTATGCTAGGTTTGGCTTAGTATTTAAAAAATTCTTTGTTATGTCAAATAATATTGGAGAGACTTGAAATTTCCTTATTTCTCTAGTCCTGATGCAAAATAGCTTGATATTCATCAGGTGAATAGTGTTTTTGTTTGAAAAATGGAAGGTACTAGCATTGAATGTCAAAGGCTCTCTTGTGCACTAGCTACTCTCATTTACCATCTCTTTTGAAAATTCATTTAAATTCAGAAACTCAATTATTATGATGGAGTAAAAGATATTGAAACAGATTGGGAAATAAGGTGGGGTAATTTGAATTTGTAGTAATTATTGTGAAGGTTCAGTTACACAGTTTATGCCTGTGTCTAATAACAAAAAAATTTTGATGATTGTGATTTTCCCATTATACTAGCATTTCAGTGACAGTCGTAGATGTTTTTTAAAAACTGCAGATGATAAATTTTTTCTGCTCATTAAGAATTACTTTGTCACCATTCTTTAAACTTTCTTCAAAAGTGCCTTTTGAAGTGTCAAAGAAATGATTATGTTGGTAGTGTAACATTGAATCACCATTCATGAAATATCTATCTTAACTATTAAATTCTTGGAGAAAACTAAATTAACTTCAAATACAAACATGATCTGCTGATTTGTTATTAATGCCAATAATAATACCTGAAACCTAGCTGGTGAAGAATTTAAAATCTTAAAGTAAAATAACATCCTTTTGCTTCTTAGTCTTTTTTTTGGGATTTTTTTGGGGAGGGGGGTGTTATTTCAATATTGTAATATTTTGCATTTATTCTATGGACTTGAAGTACATATTTCAGGTTTTATTCTATAATTAAGATCCTTGTAGTATTGGAACAAGTGTGAATGTAATAATTCTCTAAAACACAAGAGAAAGTCTAATTATATGAAATTGTTAAAGTTAAAAAAATGTTGAATTGTTTTTAATAAGCTGCAAAGCAGTGAAATCAGGTGGTAGAACTTAACAGTGATATCCTTGAATATATTATATTATATTTTTGTAAAATAGTTTTGTGCCACAAGCCTATTCCTCAAATGTATCTGACTTGAAATATTTGTTCTTTCTGAAAACTGTCATTTTTTAAATCCTGTATTTACTTATTTGCATTGTTTTTTGTTATTTCTTGTCTGTTACTCATTAAATTGTTTGTTATTTACTTACAACCAGTGGAACATCATTAATAATAATAATAATAATAATAAAAATTTGCTTTGCATGGGACTTTAGAGCTGCCCGTGTGATCTTAGTGTTTAATTGTTTAGGTTCAGGTATGCAGTATATTGTTAATGTTTTCTCTCGAATTTTGTTATAATGTAATTACAAGAAGTCCTGTATTGTCATTTATATATTAAAGCAAACATTGGTACCAAAGTCTGTGATCTGTTTCTAGTATACATGTAGAGACGCAAAGTGGTGAGAAGTTGGCGTTAGAAGAGAATACAATTGCAGTGAACGTGAGGAAAAAAAACACAAAAAGGCTATATAACATAAGTCTTATTGTTTCTTGTAACCCACATTGAGGTAAGATGGTGAAATATTTGCTCCTAACAAGGATACCAACAAATATTTCAGCTTTCTTCAGTGTGTATTTCTGTAGCTTTAATATATTATTGAGTGAAGTAGTGAGGTAAGAGATACTCACTAGATAACAGAAGCAATGTGAAAAGTTTTCGGAAGGATGTAGGCAACAAAGTATGTTGAAAAAGATTGTCTAAATTTATTGACGCTTCTATCCTTTGGATTATCATTTAAATATGCTATCATTTTATCTCTAAAGAAATTCTATTGTTATAAAAACATTAATTAATATTCCTAATCAATTTTACTTGTAAAGTAACGTGGAACTCAACAAAAGAAAAGCTGCCATTAAAACATTGAAGATTTATCAGCATTCTTCCAATATTGGACACATGTTACCCTTTATATTTTGTTACAAAAGAGTCTTAAGTTTCATAAATTATAGTTGTACATTCCTATTTCAATCATTGACTGCAGGAGAAAAATACATTTAAAAAGCAACTTTTCATATCTTATTTTTCCAAATAGTTTTTTATACTAGTATTTTCTGGTGAATTTCTTTTCTTTTAATTTCTTTTTCCCTCTTTCCTCGTTTTATACAATAAAATAATGAATTTTGTAACTAATTTTTTCTCAATGGAATATATTTGTTCTGAAAAATTAGAGTACTCTTTTGTAATGCTACTCTTCTAGCTACCTTACATTCCCGGAAATTAGATGTAGAAATTTAGCAACTGGTCGGTATATAAATATTGGAATTTATCGAAAGACATGATGGATCCACATTACTGAGAAAGTGCACAATTCCCTGATTGTTACATGAATGAAAGGGTATTCATTGAAGTAGCGGTAACTAAGAGCGCATCCCTGGAACAAGGCTGTAGAAATGAACATTCTGTGACTGATCAAATGTAAAAGATTTGATAATTGCATGTGAATACACAGGTGACATGACACATTTTACCTAAAAGAAAAAATCTGCATTTTTAGAAATGTTTGGGGCTTTCTTTAATGTCTAGTGGTAAACCCTATAATTGGACATTCTTATCAGATGACATTTTGAATTGAAAATTTTATTCTTAAAAACTGTGAACTCACATCAATATTAATTTGGTTTTATTGCACTTACCTTCACTTTGGCAGATATCATTTCAGAAGGATGGATTTGTTAAACAATTACTCCCTTTTGGTTAAAACTACCACAACAGTTGTATATGTTGTGAAATTCTGATGAAAAGTAGCTTCAACTATTACAGATAGTAATATCTTCTGTAATGTTTATTGCAAATTGTATGAATTATTCTTCTACAAGATGCTTAGAGGCAGTAGAGAAGAGGGGCCAGTATAATACAATTTGACCTGTCAACCACTCTTCATTAAGTGTGTGCAATTCTTCGGATATGCAATTTAAATACACATTTAAAAAATGTTTTTGCAAGACTTATTTAGAAATATTTCTTTGTGCTATTCCTTTCCAAGAAAGAATTATTTATACTGTAAAGATTAATTGGTTTAAAATTTTGTTAGTTTCATTAATGTGAAATAAATCCTTCAACTAGCTAGATAGCAGTGTGCAGAGATTAATTAGAAGTTAATTACTTTTAAAGAATCTTACACCATTGTTCTACTGGACATACGGGACAGATTTGGTGAATGTGCATTACTTCAAAAGTAAATAGTATGTAGAACTGATGACAACATGACAAAATAAAGGCTATAATTAGTGTATGGAACATCATACCTAGATTTTGACAAGTTTTTATTGAGTGTATCACAACACCAATTTCTCTTGAGAATGATACCCTCTTGATAAAGAGACTGACATTGTTGAACTTTTTTCTCCCAACTGCATTAATGTGGAGATCATTTGGCACACTGTGAGGTCATTAAACTGTTATTTTTTACAGCAATATAAGTATCCCTCAAGTTCAGTTATTTATACTTAATTAAAAAGCAGATTTTTGTTCTTGGTAAAAGTGTCCTTGAAAGAGAAACTTCACAACAAAATGTGTCAATGTGTCCTATTTATACAGTTCAATATTATGCACATACATACAAGTAAGCAAACAAGTAAATTATAGGTGCAAAGTGGTGGCATTCTGTTATTAAATGAATTATACAAGCAGTATCCACTGCCTTATGATTTCATTGTTTGGAAGCAATGTATGTGTACATTGATTTATGTAACCAGAAAATGTACTGCAGCTCTGTTATAAAAAAATTGATTTCTTGTATTTATTTTTTCTCAACATCCTTTTTTTCTCTCTCTCTCTCTCTCTCTCTCTCTCTCTCTCTCTCTCTCTCTCTTTCTTTTTTCACACAAGTATACACAAGTCCCAGACCTAGTCCTGAGAATTGCCAATGCCTTGTTGCAGGGTACCCAAAAAATAAAACAAACAAAAGAAAAAAAAATACCTTGTCGGTTTTGGTATCGTTTTTCAATAAGCAAAACCACTGGGTGTAAAACAAGTATGTTCTCATTCCTTACTTTTCATAAAAAGGAATGCAGTTGAAAATGTGGTTTGTTTGAGCTGTTTATCATTCAGGAGAAACTTCTTAGTTGTAAGTCTTGTACATTTGTAGGACATGTTAGTATATTCTTCAATAAATTTGTCATTGAAGTTTCGGAGCAAGTGTGAATAATAATTTCTAATGGGAATGAGCCAACATACCTGTTACAAAAGACCGAAAACTTGCCTTAACGTGATATTTTATTGTGAAACTTTGAATTTCCTATGGAATACCTGCAAATGAATTATCAGTGTGCTGAATTATGAAATTTGCACGTGTTCAGTGCAAACAGGTGCTCTTTTGCAGCAGGCATGTCCACTGTACAAGCCCTCACAATTTGATTCCATTTACGTTAGACTTTATTTAAAGAAGGAATGTAGGTGCCCAAAGACATTTGTTGAACATATCTACTTTTGCATTTGTTTGCATCAGTGCTTGAACCTAATGTTGCAAAGTATTGCAACAGATGTACTACATATTTTAAACAATTTGAAGTGTTGAGAAGTTGTTAATAGTCATTCTGGTGGGTGCAGATTTTTAAGTGGTTTTCATAAAACACGTGAAGACAGCATGAAGTCTTGTATCTTGTAAAGTGAAATGTATTTAGGCTCCACCATGATGTGAAGTAATAGAGGATGACTGCAGCTTTATTTTATTTGATTTGTATTTTTTTCTTCTTCCAAAGCACAGAAGTGTTTGGATTGACCAGCTAATATTTTACTGAAGCTGGTTTATTTTATATTGTATTGCTTTACTGCTTAGTTCAGTGAAAGAAGTTTGAAACAGTGATGTGCAAAATAGTAAACTTTAAATGACTATAATGAACTTAAAAAACTTCAAGAAAGTGTTAACAAATTATAAGCAATGAAATTTTCTTAAATCTGAGGAATGAAATGTGGAGTGATCTGTTTATTAGTGAGCGAGGATGGTGGTGAAAGTTGTGTAAATTCGCTTTTTATTTTATTTTTATTTTCAAAAAAAAAAAAATATTCCCAGGTTTTGAAAGTTAATATACTATAAAATGCGGAATTATTTCAGTTCTTTGTGGAAAGGAAGAACTTGTAATGCATTTTATGTAATTGTTGATTCAAAACTACATGACCCAATTTGTGCTAATTTCGTAATCAGTTTGATAATCTTTAATTTTGTGGGACCAATTCCATAAAATATGTGGGATAGGTCCCTCTTCAGCAGGCTTTTGTTCCATGATACTGCAATGTTTGGAATATTACTTTGGGTAAACCACAATCCCAAGAAATGCATATGTTTTGTGTATTCAGAAGAGGGCTCCTTATTTGGACTGTATACTTATACAGTGTTTTTTCTTGTTGGAATGCCTGTCTGTTGAGGTGAATATGAACAAACAAGTCAAATTGTGATATAATTTCAATAAAAGCTCAGCTGGTCTGTGTACTGTATACTAGAGCAGAGTTTCTCAACTATACTGAAACATCAGTGCATTGTTGTGTAATATTCCCTCCCCTAATGATATTAGATTATACTCATTTGTCTCAACCTTCATTACTACTCTCCTTCTCATTTTTCCCCCCTCTGTTTTTTCAGTTTACACCCAACACCCTCTGTCATTTAAAGCTTTTAATTTCTTTGTTAAAGGAGGCTAATTATGCATGCTGCATTATGAATACTTTAACCCTTCCCTTTGTGTTTCATTTACTGTATAAAAAACTATAGCTTTCTACATTTCATAACAAAAGCAACAAAAAAAACTAACTAACAACTGAATGTCTTACAAAACTTTCTGAACTTCTGTGGCAGTTGTATCATTCAATTACTTCATGATTCATTAGTTTTGTGATGTTTTCGTTATTAGTTTATTTTCTTTACCTCTTGTGAAACAATGCACTGTGTTTGAATGTTCTTCCCATGAATGTTGTGTGTTTTGTTGTTTTTTGTTACTATTCCTTTAACATACTTCATTGTAAAGCTACTAGTAAGTTGTATTGATAAGAGACCTTTTGAGGCAGCTTATATTTGTAGATACTTTGGTTCCCTTAAGAGGAAAATGCTTCAAGTGGTATTTTATTTAATATAACATTTTGAAAGTTGTACACCACTTTAAAATCTTATCTTATTCTATTATTTCCACCTGTTTTTCTCAGTGGAACTGTTGGGAAACAATGCAATCTCTGTGAAGAGAAGAATTATTAGATAATGAGAAAATGCAAATAGAAAATGTGTTTATTAGAGCAGAATAGGAAATGCAAAAGAACACTTGCAAAACTTCAACAAGATACAAAATTACAAAGTTTTCACCTGGGTAGTACATTGAAATGTTTATAAAGTAGTAAAAGCGCAAGTTATATACATTTAATACATTTTGTGTGTGTGGGAGGTAGAATTTTGAATAGTTAATTATCCATGTCGTTTTTGTTGTTTTGTTGATTTTATAAAAATATGTAAAATTTCACATAAAAAGTTAACATATCTGTTTCTTCTATGTTTATTAAATCTATTATTTTCATATTCCATTTTACTCCCCAAGTATTGTGGGTGAGTATTGGTTTTATATCCTCAAATTGCTGCTATAAAAAGTGCTTTCTTTTTGGAATCAACATTTACTGGTGTATGCCTTATGTGGGGGCTATTTCTTACTAGTAAAACAAAAAAAATTACAAATAATGAAAATGTTTCTCTCCTTTGTGTAATTTAGAGGTAAAATTCTTTTACTCTTAGTATTCAGATGGTTGTTTTCATTTTATTGAATATTTCATAACAAGTAGCCTGTGCTTCATCTCCATATACAAAATGGATGTAAATTCAACTGTTTTATAATGTAACTGGAACAAGATATTTATTAATTTCTTCGCAAATGAAGTTGTACTTATGTTGTACTTACTTAGTATGGAAGTTGTTTAATTTGGAAGAAGTTATAATGAAGTTGATAAGATGTTCCCTGTTTCCTTCATGTCTTTTTTTGCAAAAACAAAAAAAATCACCTGTAAGAAAAGGTCAAAAAAGGCAGTGCCAGAGATTCTTTTATTTTTAGATGGGGGACAAATTAAAAAATATAATGTAACAAGTATGTAAAGTGAATATTCTTATTGTATTGTACAAATTAATTTGAATTCAATAGTTGATATAAATTTTGTTTGATTGAAACCAGTGTAGTTATTTGTAGAAATTGTTCTGAGTTTTGTTTTTGGATTGATTTTATATTTATGTTTGTGGTATGCATTGCAATATATTCTTACTGGGCTTCTTTTTGAAAGACATGGTGCATGCCATTATTCAATGAGAATAAAAATGTAATCAATTAATTTTTATGTGACATTTGAATACGGTGCCGTTTGTCCTTGTACATTTTTTATTAAAATAGGGAAAGTAAGGGCTTTACAAACTATACAATTCACTTCAGGGAAACAGCACACAAGTACTCACATTATGCATGATATGATCATGTGCTTTTTCCTACTTGGGAATTTTGATAAAGGGGGAGGGGGGTATAATATTATCTTATGAAATGATGTCAATAATTGACACGTTTGCAGAGCCTTTTTGGCACATTTGCTCCATGAGCCTAAAATTTCGTAGGGGGTCTTAAAAAAAAGTTTAAATGTACGTGAATGTTTCTTTCTTAGTAAGAAGTATTGAACTGGGCAGACTAGGGGTAGTGATACATACAGCATAGCATAATTACGTAATTGAAAGTACTGCATTATGATGGCGAAACGATTCCTGCGAAGTGAATGCATCAGCAACTATATCACCTTGCAAGAAGGTCGTGATACGTTGTTTTTTTCTCTAGCTCGCGAGGCCTTATCTTGACAATGGAATATCTTGCGGCATTTCTCGGTAGCACTGGTAGATTTCGCAAGATCGCTACTGTATCGAGCAGTGCTGGCGATCACGCGACATTAGCGACACGGCCGAGAAACGCGAAATTCTGTGAGGTCATGAATGAATAATGTGTTAATCTATGGTGAGATATCCCATCGGGAAGACATGACCTCGCGCGCCAATAAATAAAAACCCAAGTATAGTATTATGTGATGGAGACCGGAGGCGAAGCGTCAGGCTAGGCAGAGTAAGCTGAGCTATTCCAAAGAATCAAGGCGAAAAATATCTTAAAAAATAATAATTCGTTTTTTAACCATTTTATACCGTACGTTTGTTCTTATGGGTATCCCATGAGATGCGTCTGTTCGTTAGTTGGTGATGCGCAGTTTCATGTGCCAATGCTTAGATTTATTTATAATGGCATTCGCCGTTTAATTAGCATTTACACTGTTATCCTTTACTAAAGGTCGTTACTTTCGATTTGGCAACTGCGAGTCTACTACTGTCCGGGTCCCAGTTTTCCGACCGCCGGAGAGGGGTCCTAGTTCCCGCGCGGGGCGAGCGGCAGGGTAGGAGGTAGGTTTCGCTGCATCCACAATGTCACGTGACATAATCGCAACCGTTCCAAGAACATCGAGCGGCTGGTTCGCTTGTGGCAGGACCCCAGTGTTAACGTGTGAAAACCATTAGTTTCTCATCATGGCAGAGTTACTAATACGACTATACACAGCGAGTGTCGCGAAATCATTGTCCGTGTGATTGAAATATGTGATAAGGAGAAAGAAGATAAATGTTTACATTTACCTTTAATGAAAGCGA